AGAGTTACAGACTGTCAGGTGGAGGCTGTCTGTGTAATCTTCACTGGGTTCCCTGGGGGATGGGAACTGTGATGTAGCCTTTAATTACACAATCACATTTTATTCCATCACGACATTTGCAGAGAGCATCTTTGTTTAGCATTTGCAGTTGTTGGCTGAGAAAGACACACTTACTTTAGATTTAAATCTTTGGACAATTGCACTGCCAAACTCTGCCTAAGTCTCTGCTGAGCAAGCGTGATGCCTCCATGAGCCCCTGCTTCCCTGAGAAGCCCTGGTTTTATAGTCTAGGTCTAAAGTGTGGTAGAACTGACGGAGCTTCATGAAGCAGTTGAAAGAAATGGAAAGCAAGCAAATAAACATGTTTTCCATAATTTCATACTTCTGTCTGTGCCTGTTACTGTGGTTTGCATTAATTTGTTTTGTTGTCTGTGTATATTTGGCACTGTGTGTAGTGCTTTAGCAAAAGGATGAGACTTCAAAGTGAAAATGGTATTTTTGTCTTAAAGCTGAACCCCTTCCTCTTCCTTTTAGCTCTCAGGAGCTAAAAGTTGCAGCAAAATATTTGAAGCAAGATTCAGAGAAACAAAAACTAATGTACCTTTTTTTAACAATTTGTCATAAGTTTCTACAAAAAACCTTGAAATTTTTGTGCTGATTCAGAATTTTCATACTTTTTTTTAGTGTGTGTGTGTACTCCTAATTAGAACTCTTAATCTGTCATGTACTGATCTTGTATTCCAGCTGAATTTCCAAAAAATTATGTTGTTGGGGTTTTTTTGGTGAGCAAGAAGAGGAATAAAGTTCTATTCTTACAGAAGAAATTAGGTAGATATAAAGCACAATACATTCTTCTGGTTGTCTCTAACTTTCTTTTTTTTTTTCCCTCTTTTTTTACTAGTGATGATCTTTTCTCTCTGCCTTACTGTCCAGGGAAAACCCTGGTGGTTGGAGCTTCCTATGTTGCCTTGGAATGTGCAGGGTTTCTTGCAGGTCTTGGATTAGATGTCACTGTAATGGTGAGATCCATTCTCTTAAGAGGATTTGACCAGGATATTGCAAACAAAATTGGCGAATATATGGAAGAACATGGAATCAACTTTATTAGAGAGTTTGTGCCGATCAAGGTAGGCTCAAAGTGGTGTATGACTACAATTTATTGCAATATACCTATCATAATGGTTTAAGATGTGAATTATTTTAGTGAATGCAAAGGTTGAATTTGCAATACAGGATCTACTACGATATAGTATGGGTTAGTTTTTGTTTTAAAATGAACAAGTCCATGAATCTTAGGTAATTGGAAGGTACACTTTAGTTGTAATATTAAAATTTGGTGAAATTCCAGAATTCACTGTTTTTATCAGAATTAGATGAGTTAGTATATGTTGCATTAAAAATGTTGTTAGTCCTGCTCATCCTGGTCCTGCAAATGTTGAGTATACTTAAATTCAGCAGTTTTCCTGAAATCTGTGAAACTTCCAGCAGGCTCATAATTAAGCAGGTATGTAATTTCCTGTAAGATCAGGGCCAGTGCATCACAAATAGTCGTATTTTTTCATTGCCAGTTCTCAAATTCTCAGACAGCAAATACTGTTTATGTGCCCAGGACCAGCACAGGACTATCCAGAAAAGTAGATGGGCTTTCGAAGTATCCATCTATATCCTTTACTTAGCAGAGTCCTTAAGTACTTGCTCAGTTTTCACTTAATTCAGTAGGTGTACTTGTGCAGCTAGTTACGTACATGTATAGGCAAATTCAGTTTGAAAAGCAGATTAGATAAGATCTAATGTAAAATTGCTTTATCAAAGACTTCAGAGGGTGCTAACAGTATTTTGCTAAATGTTTTTTCACAATAGTTAGTACTTAATTATTATGAAATGGGAAATAATGTATTAAGCAGTTTTCAATTTGGCATTAAGACAACATGTTACTGAGTTTAACACTTTGGGGATTAAAGCGTTAAATCAAGTGAAGACTGTTCATTTGCACCCTTAGAAATATCAAGAGTAGCTTAAAATTCCTCTTGCCAGTTACCATGGTGTGGATCTGACTGTCTCTCACAGCATAAGAGATTTGCTGCGAGAAGTCAAAGTGAATGTTTCAAGGAACTTTGTTTTTAGCACGTTTGCATTGCAGAAATACCATCTTGTGTGAAGAGCAGGGATGATTATCCAGCTTTTGTTTCAGACATAGCTTTTTATCAGCTCTCATGGGGGATGATAAGGAAGGAAGCTTTCTTACAAGCAGATCATTTCAACTAAATGGCAAGTGGGCTCCTCCAGATGCACCCTGCAAAGAGCAGTTCATTGCCCGAGTCACAAAATGCACTTTTGTGTATTTTACCCTGTCCCTTCACTGCGTGTCTTTGATTTCAATGGGAATAAATTCTTGTCCCTGTTTCTAGTTGAGAATATCCTTAAACTTAAATTGCTGGATATGTTTTTAGCAGATTTTCTCATCTCTTTCAAATACTGCTTTTGAAGTTATGCACTGTTGTGCTTATTAAAACCCTTCGTTGGGATGTTTGAAGACAGAAGATGAATTATTATAAGTAATGGTGCCTTTGAACCAGAGCAGTTTAACACAGAGATCCTTTAAAGTTGGTAGGATGGTAGAGAAGGTTTGGGCTTTTTTTAATTAAAAAAAAAAAAAAAAGGACAAGGGAAACCAGAACTTTGTCAGATGCTTTGCTTTTTCTGTCTCTCAGTACTGAATATGTAGTAGGAACTAGGGCAGTTGTTGAAAAGTACTTTTTCATCTGTAGAAGGAACACTAACATTTCCCAGAATTAAGTGCTGCACAGTTACGTGTCTCTTGTATGTCCAGCCATAGGAAGCAGCTGGGCACCTCGCCATTACCTGGGAGGGTAAGGGGAGGACTGTAGCTGAGGATATCTGGTCCTTTCCTCGCAGTCCAGAGCATGTTAATGAGGATGAAAAAGAACCTGCCTATGTATCACTTGTTTAGTTGATTTATTTATCAGAGGAAAAATGAGCATTTGGAAAAAAAGCCAGTGGTATTACTCTCTTTGCTTTATGGTTTTCTGGTATATGGGGGAGTGGGGCGTGGAACGGGGTGTATTTTGGGTTTTATTTTAAATAAACCTGCTTTTTTTTTTTTACTCTGAATAAAGTGCAGAGTTGCAAAAAGATTCCCCTTTGTTTTTTTTTTTTTTTTTTTTTTCTCCTTTGCTGGAATAGACAGTAAGCTGCTGCGTTCCTTGAGAGCGAGCATGCAGCTGGATCCGTAGCTAAAATCAGGAATATTTTTTTCAGCTGGCTCTGGGAAACTCTGAAGAGCTTTTTTACTTAAGCTGATGGTGTTTTTTCAGCCATTTAGAGCCAGCTGCTGGCCTCCTGTAAGGCCATGGCAGCTTTATATATTGGACTAATGTCATTGAAATAAGACAAAGGCCTGTACTGCTGAGGGCTGGGCTATGACAATGGCTTTCCATGGGTGGAAGACACAATGGTCCTCTAGGTGTGGTTGGAGAAAACATCTGACGGTGTTTCCAGGTTCTCCAAGAGTTCCCCTTTCGCCTCATCTACTCTGTTCCCAGTTGATACCAGCAGCTCACATGGTGGGCTTGAACAAGAACTTAGCTATAAACCAACTTTTAGAAACAGAAATGAGGTCTTACTGTGTTGGTCATAAGAATAAATGCATAGAGGTAAAACAAAATGTTTAAATATGTAAGTAATAATCACAAATCTAGAGAAAGATAAAAGTATCTTTAGAATAAATGCTTAATTTTAGGTCATGGTTAAACTCTCTCAAAGATATGTGATGGGACAGAGATACATTTGCATTTCTTTATTTGAAACTAACCCCTTTTTTTTTTCTTTTTTTCTAACCCCCCTCCCCCAATGTTGTAGGTTGAGCAAATTGAGGAAGGAGCTCCTGGAAGATTGAAAGTTACAGCCCAATCCACAAAGGGGAACGAAATAATTGAAGGGGAATACAATACTGTGAGTCCTGTCTATGTACATGAATGCAAAATAGCCTTCCATGTGATGCTGAGGTTCTGTGGGGTGTTTTTATCCATCGTTTAAATTTTTTTAAATTATTTTAGTCACTACACTATGCTAATTGCAGACAATCAGCAGGTAGTTAATGTGACAAAAGTCCCAGAATCCATGGGCATGAGTCCCATGTGCCTTTCCAAATCATTTGCATGCTTTTGAAACCTGTTTCTTAGCTTAGGGATGTAGGTGAGCTTGGTCATGTGGAATCAGTTGCAGGATTTTTCCCCACTGGGATGTTTGTCATAAATGATAAGTGATGATTTAGAATAGCTTTCATCATAACTAAAGCATGTTCTGGAGTTAGCACAAAACAATGATCTGTGCAAAAGCTAAACAAGCAGGTGTTGTGTCTTCTCAGACCTGTTGTGGATGGTGAATTAGCATCTTCACAAAAACAACTAATGCCCTATGGCAAGTCAGTCAAGGAACTTCATTATGTACTTAAAACAGTAAAATTGCAGTGTGCAGGTGTGCCATTATATGTTTGATTGACTGTTTCCATCACCCCTCACCCCACTGATTTGCTTAGGCCTTGATGCTGAAAGGAAGAAAAAAAAAAAGGTTGTGAATAAAGTATTTGGAACTGCACAGGATGCATAAAGACAAGCATTTTCCAGCTGGGATTTTAGACTGCAAATACTGTGTGCTAGTGACCTCATTTACCTGTGTAGCGCATCAGTCATCGCATAATAAGGACACGCCTCAGTGCATCTGAGGGCTAATATTATGAGAAAGTTTGACAATAACAACAGTGCTGTTGCTGTGTGGTAATACTGTTTTTCCTGGTCCATGGTAGTGAAAGCGTTTTAGCTACCAAATCACTGCCATCTTTTCATTATGGAAACTTCTGATTTCTTGTTGTTACTACATCTTTCACTGAAATGCTGTCACTCCTCATAGAAGCTATCAGCTGTGTGTGATGCATTTTAAGACCTTCAGCTCTAAGATCTGGCATGCTTGGTCATCTAAAAGACTGGAAGGAGATCTCAATTCCTTCAGCATTGTGTGGTTAACCTGGGCAGTTGCCCAAGACCTGCTAAGCACGTAGCACTTTTCCATGTGATAGTGTAGGCTGGAACTTGTTTTGCTAGTTAAGGTAGCCAGGTTGATAGGATGGGTAAGAATTTCTCCTGGTCTGTCCATCATTCTGAACAAATGTTCAAACAAATAACATTCCATGAATAACGCCCTTGGCAGTGACTTGGCTTAAAGCCTATATGAGTAAATTATATTTTCGGATCCAAATGAATATTATTTTATGGTCTTTTTATTTGCCTAAGCATCTGAGTTTCCTTCCTAAAAAGCCCTTTCCTTATGGAGCATTTTGGGGTCACCTGCTCTGGTAGGGATATGGTATAACACTTTGGTATGAAAGTGTGAGGAAATAAAGAATCTGACCCTAATCAATTTGTTTAGAGTACTCTTAGGGTATTTTTCTAGGGAAAGCTATTTGTATTTCATCTTATCATTAAAACCTGGTGTTGTTAGGTCTTGGTGGTGGTGTGGCTTTTCTTGAACTCTATGAATGTACCCTGGGTAACAAACGTATTCATCTTAACGTGACCAAGCCTTAGATACTAATCCTTAGAATATAATGAAAATAATAGCTAGCCACATGCACGGGCACTTTTGGCGTTTTAAAAAATTAGTAACGTGCATTGCTGTTTTGCAGGTGTTGCTTTTGAAGAGACTCATGCACAAGAAAAATTGGTTTGGACAAAGTTGGAGTGAAGATCAATGAAAAGTAAGGACAGATGTCTGTATACCACTCACTACTGAGCTTGTGGCATTTGATACTGAAATGTCAATTTCTAAATGCCAGGAGTTGAAAGTGTCAGTTCCATTCTGTCAAGGTTCACAGATCAGTCTCAGCGTCTTCCAGTGACGAGGCTTTCTAGGATCTGTCAGTTTTTCCTTGTGCTCTTATTCCCATCTCCTTGTTTTTATCTTTACCACCTCTTGGGGCAGAGATCTGTTTGTTCATACAGGCTTTCAGTGTGGTAGGTTTTGTTTGTATTTTAATGTAAATGCTACTATATGTTTATTTTTAAATATAAGGCCAAAGTAGCATTCCTTAAACTCGGAGCTGGAGTTTGTGGTGTGTTTCAGGTTTTGGAGGAGTTTCTTTCTTGCCTTAGAGCAACTCGTTGGAACAGTCTGTGTCCTGTAGAAGGAGCATTTCATGTTTAATGTAGTGAGGTCGTTGCACCAGGGAGCGGAGCTATCGGTAACATTTTCAGTGTTGGTAACTAGAACATCTTCTAGGCGTGAGGGGCCTAGACGATCTTCCTTTTGAAGACACGGGACCATGAACTCGACTTGGCAGACTATGGAAAAACAGCGCCGAGGGCGGCTTATCTATGAACACAGTGACTGATGTTGCTGAAGGGAACTGTTGCAATGTTCTAAATAAGTGGAAATTTTGGTCCACTCAAATTTGGCAGACCCATGTTGTCTTGTAGATTAGTACACATCTTTCTGACATCAGGACACCTATTACTAGCTTAATAGAATGAACTATAAAATTACTAGCATAAACTGTGTATTTGTTAACAAAAGCAAAATTGAGGAAGTTGGATTTTAGTATGGGAGTCACCGCTAGTCCCCCAAGTAACTGTGTGACTGTTTCTGTGCTTGTCTGATTAGGTTTCCCTGTTACACATGTTTTCTGCAGTGATTAATGCACTATCTCATTTATTAATGAGGTAGGAAATATTAATAATTAAAAACTTCCATTAGCTCAGTACACTTACAGCTAAAAAGCTTGCTGGCTGTCCCTTAAGTAGGGTGTCTAACAGCTTGACCTGTCTCTGTGTAGAAGCCTGAAGGGTAAGTTTATAGAAACTGCTTCAGCCACTGGAATGGAATTTCAGTAGTGGAGAAATTCTTTTATCCTACAGCTTGAGTGGGAGAATATGTCTTCCTGTCATTCCTCAAGGTTGCCAGTACACAGCTCAGCTGGTAGTAGAAGGTGTTGGAGGAAAGATTTATGCCTCACCAAAGAATTGATTCAGGACATGAATTGCAACTTCACAAGCTACCTCCTTATCCAATGTGTAAATTCCTGTAGTTTTCGTCAAATTTGCACTACTTTACATTCTTGCCTGAGATTGTAAGATTGTGAATATGACTTCTCTCCCTCATACTTCAAATATGTGGCTTCCTCTTAAAGCGAAAGGACCTAACTTCTGCAAGGTTATTTACACCTCCAGTCTTCACAGCAGAACACTTAGATCTTTGTTTCTTGTTAATTCAAATTGCAGAACAGGAAAAATTCCTGTCAACGATGAGGAGCAAACAAACGTGCCGTATATCTATGCTGTTGGAGATATACTGCAGGACAAGCTGGAACTCACACCAGTGGCAATCCAGGCAGGAAGATTGTTGGTTCAAAGGCTTTATGCTGGGGCAACTAGTAAGGTAAGGAACCAGTTGCCACAAAACACTGTCGTTGCTCTACTTCTAAGTGCAGAGTGCAAGTCTGCTTGTTTATGGAAAACTCAGTAGGCTCTTAAGGATTAGCTTTGATGATCACTTTAATTTTCCCCTTGCAAAGATATTACTGCACATATGTTCTGCTAATTGTGTAGAATGAAATTAATACCTTATGGATTAAGTAGTAGTCTCTTTTTTTTCCCTGTTAAGAGGTTTTATTTTTCTCTCTGAGTATAATGATAATAAAATTAACTGAGATCATTTAACTTGTTTTGAATTCTGCCACCTTCCCTGAAAGTCAGAAATCATTCCCATCCCATTAAATGCTTTAGCTCTAATTCATAGGAAGTTTACTAAGCCTACCTACAGTCCCTAAATAGAATTGTAACAGGGGTTTGTGATGCTTTTAATTTTCAATGTTATTTCCACTAGTTTTTTCACTTCTCATCCATGTGTTTTCAATGTAACACATAATTCTGCTTATAACTGAATATGGACACGAAGGAAGATCAAGTGTACCAATAAGTCAGCACTTATTTATATCTGAGAAGTTGAATTAATCGATTCAGTGTTTGTTTCTTACTAGTGCAACTGTAGGTTTCAGTCAAGTTATGCGAGTCTAAGTAGGAGTAACATGGGTACTCGTTTACACCTTACCTTTAAACCAGGAGGAAAGGAGAGTGCCTTTAAAGAACTATTATCCAAGCACCACTGATGTGGATGCTTGTCTTGCCTTCATGTCCATAGGGCATGAGCATAAAGGTTTTTCTCTTTCAGAACCTGCTGTATTCATATCAACTTCAGCTGTCGGCCAGATTTAGAGCTTGATTGAGTTGTTTATTTTAGGTTGGCAGGTATTGCGGTAACAGAATCCTGAATCAGCGTGCATGATGTCATTACATCAGCAGGGCAAAGTTTAAGAAAACCGTAGCTGGAGCCAGAATTTTTTTCTTGCTGCAATACTATGGATATATCTTAATTTACATTTTATGCCAGATAATTGTCTGTCAAGGTATGAAAATCCTTATGCTGCCAAGGAAAGCATCATCTCTTGCAGTGAATCCAAGAAATGAGTAATTACTTAGATGGGAACCTGGCTTACATTGCTGTTGTAACAAATCTTGAAAGGGTGATTGTATGAAACATAATAAATTGTTATCGATAGGTGGGGAAAGAATAGTAAGCAGCATCTTAGCTGATCCTCAGTCACAAAGGAGATTAATTAGTGTTGAAATCCATAGAAATTAAAATTACAAGTACTTAAATAGAGCTGACCAGCCTGCTACTCTGCTATGGAAGAATGACTAATTTGGTGGATATGGGGAGAGCATGGGTGGGTGTTGCTTACTTTGACTCTAGTAAAGGCTTTTGACACTGTCTCCTGTAACATTCTCATAGGCAAACTGATGGAGTACTGAGTAGATAAGGGGGCAGTGAGGTGGATTGAAAACTGGCTGAACTGCCAGGTTTAAGGGACCAAAATTACAAAGACCAGCTGAAGGCCAGTCACTAGTGGTGTGCCACACGTTGGTCCAGTACTGTTTAACATCTTCATGAATGATCTGTATGATGAGACAGATGCACCCTCAGCAAATTTACAGATGGTACAAAACTGGGAGGAAGTGACTGATGCACGCCATGTTTGTGCAATCAGTCAGAGGGACCTCGTCAGGCTGGAGAAATGGGCTGGCACGAATCTCAGGGAGTTCAGCAAGGAGAAGTGCCACAAGTCCTGCCCTGGGGAGGTGTAACCCCATGCGCCAGCACAGGCTGGGGACCCACCAGCTGGAAAGCAGCTGTGCGGAGAAAACCTTGGAGGGTCTAGAGGACAGCTTGACCATGAGCCAGCAATGTACCCAGCAGAGAAGGCCAGTGACATGCTGGGCCGCATCCTGGCAGAGCGTTGCCAGCAGGTGGAGGGAAGCAACCTTTTCCCCTCCACTTGGCTCTGGTGAGATAGGTTTGGATTTTGTGTCCAGTTTTGGGCTCCCCAGTACAAGAAGGACAGGGCAAGTCCATGAAAGGGCCATGACTATGATTAAGGGACTGGAGCATCTGACACCTGAGAAGAGGCTGAGACAGCTGGGAATTCTTATACCATGCGGAAGAGTTGGCTGGGGGGGAGGGCTCTTACATCTCTGAGTACTTATACCTGATGGCAGAGAGTAAAGAAGATGGAGCCAGACTCTTCAGTGGTATAAAGTGCAAGGGCGAGAGGCAATGGATTCAAACTGAATCACAGGAAAATTCCATTTAAACATAAGAAAAGAATTCTTTGCAGTGAGGGTGGTCAGGCCCGGAGGTTGCACAGAGAGAGAACCTCAAGAACACTCAAGAAAGCTCTGGTGAAGTCAGGGGTCAGCGTTTGCCTCTCATTGTATGTGATTGGGCGCACGGTATCGGCTCTAGCTCTAGCTGTCCCCTCCAAATGGCTGTAGTTCATGTCTTTGGTTCTTTGGCATCGCCTAGGCCGCAGTTGATAAGAAAGATGATGGGTTTTGGATGGTGGTGGTGTCTTTGCAGCATCCCCAGCTAAAAAGAGCATGCTTTGTAGAAGCAGTTGAACAGCCTGCTTTTTATCTCCAGTTTGACCTGTAATCTGGCACATTTTTTTAAAACAGGGCACTAAATTTCCTCTTCCTTTTAATCTATGCATACTAATGTCAGCGTGGCTTTAACCTGTCTTTCTGTTCTTGCTCTAGTTAACACGTCTGAGAGGAAAAAAACTGAAACTGTAGCTTAATTTAAAACAATTAAAAAAAAAAAAAAAAAGTAGCTTTCAGAATTATGAATAATCCAACTTTTCTTCCTGTCTTTCAGACTGCTGAATATTTACTCAGTGTGCTGATTTTGTTTTGTTTTGTTTTGAATGCCACACAGTGTGACTATGTGAATGTTCCAACTACTGTATTCACTCCTTTGGAGTATGGAGCCTGTGGGTATTCTGAAGAGGCAGCAGTGGAGAAGTTCGGGGAGGAAAACATTGAGGTAAATGCCTTAGTTTCATCTGGATTTTAAGTTCCCAATTTGTAATTTAAAATGATGTTAAGAGTCGATTGAAATAGCATTCTGTGTTCTGATGTAAGGGCAGGAGGTGACTGTACAATAAAAGTACATTTTTGTCTTCCTTGGCAGTTCCTAGACATGTTATAAAAGTAGTCCCCAATTCCAATAGCTCTAGTTGTAGATATGTTCTACTTTTAGCAAACAGGGCTTAAAGGTGGAATATTCTGCAAATAGTTCAGGATACATTAAAGCTGGTTATTTGTTGGAAACAATACACTGGTTTTGGTGTCAAAGTGGAGTTTCTTGTAGTGGCAAATTCCTTGCCATGGTGATTTTTACTTAGTAAAGCCAAATGTCTTTATGCTTCTTTTTTCCTGTTTATTTTGACTATGGAAGGAGGTATGTGCTTAATTTTACTCACGTGAGTGATCCATTTTGATTCACTGGAATTGCTAGTCAAGAGTAAATTTAGACGTACATAAGCACTTAGTGCCTAAGGCTGTTCTTACAAAATAGACCACATAGAGCGTGACGTGAGGGAAGCTGACCATAAACTGAACTTTTATGTCCCATGAAGATCACCTGAGGAGCATTATTTGGGGAATAAGCGGATAAGTGGTGGCTCATAAAGTTGAGAACTTGTCTCCCTCTTAGCTTTGTCAATTATATTTTTTGACTTAGACTGTGGAGAAAAGACGTAAATATGACTTAAAGTGGCAGTGTGTCAAGTACTGTTAACCTGACTACGGGGCAGGGGTTTAAATTCTGTTCTTCCCGCAGAGTTTGTATATACACAGTCAAATTTTTGTTATTGAGTCAAATTCTTGCTGTCACATCTGTGACACTGGACCCTTCTTTGTGGAAATGCGCTTCCCATTTTCAAAGACACTTTTGAAAATAATGCATCCAGAAGCATTTGTATTGTGGCTAAGTCCTAATTTAGTTTATACTGACCTCTCTATCTTGTCACCATACTGGCTTTTGCGAGCTTCAGTAGGGTTATGGAGTTGCCTCTGTCATTCAGACCTGTTAAATTTCAGTTTCAGAGAGCAATGCTTATAAATGCTTTGTAACTCCATTAATATGGAAAAACATTGCGCTGTTTCTCCCAGTTTGTGAAGGGACATATTTTTACTGGAGTTGTGATCAGTTAAAAACATCTTTCAAATAGTAATCAATCTAACGTTAGCTTGTCATGGGAGCAGTTGAGAGTTCTGGGTAGAGCTGTGCCTCAAAACACCCTGTCTTTTTCTGAGATACGTGCCATACAGGTGGGTGAGCAACCTTGCCTGCTATTAGGAATCCAGTGGTGTTGGCTGGGGCAGACAGAAGAAAGTGGGTTTGTTTTGGGGGGGGGGTGTTGTGTTTTTTTTTTTTTAAATGTACTTTCCATTTTGCAATGATAGATAATCTAAGAGAGCATGCAAAGTCATGCCCTCATCTCTCCTGAGCCCGAGCTCTGAGGGTATTTTGTCCATTTTTCTGCTCTGAGAAAAATTTTTGCCTTGGTCCTGCGTAGACCCAGAGACATTACAGTCATCTGTGAGGGAAGCTTGTATTTGTCTAGTTTAATGAGAGTGTGGTGAACTGCATCCTGGAAGTGTAATACACTTATGGCTTCTTTCTTTTTTAATTTTTGGGTGACGCTAGTGCTTTGGTGTTCATCAAGCGGAAAGAGTCTCACCCTGCTCTCAAGTATTCCAAATTTTATGTGCCTGGCTAATGAAGAGTTATTAGATAATGGTTCATCCTTGGGCTGCGTCACAATTGTTGAAAGTTTTTACATGTGTGATTTCCAAAAGCAATTACAGTCAGTTGTAAAGCTCTGCCTTTCGAGGTGGACAAGGCAAGTTTGAGATAATCTGGCAGTTTTTGGAAGATTGTGCTCTCTGCTGTGAAATTACACAACTTTTCTTTTTTAACCTGTGTTACATTTCTAGGTCTACCATAGCTATTTCTGGCCACTGGAATGGACTGTGCCATCCAGAGACAACAACAAATGCTATGCAAAGATAATTTGCAATGTTCAAGATAATGTAAGTGCTTTTTTATTTCTAGGGAAAACAGCAGCTATACGTTCATCATAGGGACTGTTGATACCACTGCTATAAATAGGTTATTTTTAACAAAATTAATCTAAATTTTTCTACCTTTTGAAATGTAATAAATCTTTATAGTGTTACAATACTTTTGTGTATACAAAAATGACCCTTCGTAAAATGGAAAATCCTGACGTTGCTATTGCTATATGGTATTTCTTACATATATGTAACATAAGAACTACACATCTCTAAGACTGTTCATTAACTTTGAAACGTGAGTGAATCAATGCATGTAAAAATTGTTTAGAAGTTTTATCGGTTTATCTTATTCTCCCCAAACTGGGACATTCTTTTCTGGGAGATTCTTCTCTCTGAAACTGAGGTCACTCAGAAACCATCACAGCTTGTAACCTCTGCAAATCCACGTATGTCTATAAAACTTTTGAGCTCGTTCTAACAGGATTAATGTATCTTGGCTGCACAAATCTCATTTAGGGTGATAATGCCAGGATTATCCCTGGAGTAGGAGAAAATTTCCTGGCAGTGGAAATGTACAGTACCTGGTGAAGCACAAGCAAAATTACTAATTGGTTAAAAGAATTGGTATGACCCTCTCTGATGATCATCATCTGTTTAATAAAAAAATCAGTTTATTTGAATAATATGAATTATACAAAGGATAATATGCTGTTAAAATGTGTTCCTGTTAAGACAGTGGCATAGAATTATTAGTCCTAAGAATATTTTTGATCTATTTTACCTGTTTTCTTTCATCATTACGTGCAGATTTAGCTTCCTGCAGTCTTTCTAAGCATCACGTCACCATTTTGTAAAATGTGAATCTGTCTGGTTTTGCCCATCTCCTCTTCCTGGAGGAGTTTGCATAGTGTGGAAGCTGAAACCATGGGTCTATAATGTTCCTAATTCAAAGTTCCTTAAGGAAATAAAAAGGCTTAATGGTGATTTAAAGTGTTTCATTAATTTGTTTCCATTTCTTCTCCTGAAAATTTGGAACATGTTTTAACATCTAGGGGAAGAGTTGAAAGTTACCCTGGATGAAAAATACTTCAGAAACTATTTTAAACTGTTGTTATCTTGCTATCATTATTATGGTTTTATTTTTCTATATGTCCATATTTTTAAAGGAAAATAAGGATAATTCCATTTTATTAACTAATTATAGCTTTTCTTCTGTAAATAAACCCTGTGATAAGTCTCAGGCTTACTGAAAGACAAATAACCTCATTAGTGGGACGAGCAGATAACTTTTGATACCCAAGTGGGCTATGTCTCTGCTCAGCAAAACCTGATTAATGCCCTGAAAGCCACTAAAGCCCGCGACAGCTGGCATTTGCTAAAGGAGACTTGCTTTTCTTAGAGAAGCAAGCTTTTCTTTAAGAAAAGCACATCAAGTCAGTACAGCTTGTTCTGTTGAGTGTTTGCTGAGGATATACGTGCAGTTTGCCGTGTTTTGCAATTGAACGGTAGTAGAGGTATGAGAAGTGTGAAGTAATAGTGGCTTCCTTGTAACTGGAGGGCTTTCAGTTTATTTTGCCAGTCTCTAGGTCTATTATCTCCCAATGACAGTGAACGCTGCAACAAGAGTAGTCATCAGTTTGGTTGTAATACACTTCGTTAGCCAGAACTTCAGCTCGTGCCCCTTTCCCGTAAGCAACTATCAAACAGGGAATTCTTCAATAGGTGCACGCCACGTAGCCACCTAGCGTGGGCCCTGATGTTACAAACCTTCGTGCAAGGTGCGCGTTTTTACTTAAGCAAGCACTCTGTTGGAATGAGCGGAATGGCTTGCCTGAGTAAAACCTGAATCCTGTTTGCAATTAGGACGCACACAATAACCAAGCATAGACTGTGGTGTGTGTTAAATTTGGGTGCTGTTGATGTAAATGGAGGACTCCTGCACAAAACTTTGTAATGAAGCTGATTCTTGAGTTCTTAGTTGAATCTTTCCAGAGAGAGAACAAAATTATACCGACTACCTCCCACCTGTTGGCACTAATGATAGTTCACATTCGTGTGGTTACGTTAATTTTTGGTACATTTTGTGGGCTGTTTTAAGTTCTATACTCCAAGTAAGAAAACCTTACACGTTGTCTAAAGAGAACTGAATGCTTGACTGTGCTTGCATTTGATTGTCTTCGGTATTTAGGAGAGAGTCATTGGTTTCCATGTCCTTGGTCCAAATGCTGGAGAAGTCACCCAGGGGTTTGCAGCTGCTATTAAATGTGGGATGACAAAAGCACAGCTGGACAGCACCATAGGAATTCATCCCGTCTGTGCAGAGGTTTGTATATAAAGTCACCTCATAGCCCAGCTTCCGTAGCGTTCTGGGGTAAGGTATTGGGTATCTGAATAGCAGAGCCCTATTAGAGAGGTCTGAATTTGGAGGAAAGTAGCGGGGAGGGAAGGAGAGGAAATGATCTGGTTTTGATACTTAGAAATCTAACATTTAGGTTTAATCTGGGATTTTTTTTGTGAAATATTTATGGTCTCCCCTAATCCTGTATGCTCTCTACTGGGAAGTACAGAATTTTCTTCCTACTCAAAGATCGTTTATGAAGTCTTCAAATACTATTTTGGCTAAAGTGGTTGTCAAAGCTAATTTTCTTAGACATGTACTCAAAATAGGCTTATAAACTGATGCTGTGGAAGGGGACCAGCTACATGACAATTTTTCTATTAAATTCTGCCCTTTTAAAGATCTCTCCTTTACTCTGTAGGCCTTCACTTTTGAAGTGAAGTACATGAGGCCACACAAACATTTCTTTTTGTGTTTGTCTTACTGTTCCTCTTCATTAAAGAACTTAATTTTCTGTAGCAGGTGGGGGACAGCTCCTCTCAGGTGTAAATCAGAGATGCTCCACTGATTTGAGTACCATTAGGACCAGTTTATGTTAGCTGAGGATCCCTGCAAGCTGTTTATGACCTTTGTAGATCTTTGTACAGAATCCCTCAGGCTTTTACCTGCTTGTGTTAGCTACCAAGATGCTGATCTGCAGAAGTAAAGTCCTCTTCTCTTGTTCTGTGTTTCCAAAGTGATACAGTATAAGCCATGTAATATGAACTCCATTAACGGAATGGACTGCTAGCAATCTGAGTCATCTTCAAAGCATCCTCAATACAGATTCTGTTTTTCTTCTGTAGCATCATCTAATGGTGTTCTTGGAAGCCTTTGAAGAGGGGTAGCAGGTCCTTATCTTACCAGGGGCCCCAAGGAGGGGAAACTCTGAGGGAGGCATTCAGACTTGTGAACTCAAATGGGATATTAGCGTATGCAGTGAGAAGAGGGGATGATAGTCATAATTTATTCTGGACATCTGAGCTGCTAAAATTGAAACTGAATAGAATGATGATTAGACATAATTTAGGGAGGTAATTTCAGATAATCATATTTGTTTGAGTGGGGGAGGAAGAAATTGGCTCAGGAGAAATACACTATTTAAAAGCTCCAGGGAACAGCAATCATTTTTAGTGCCAGTCTTCAAAAGGGTTTTTTTTTTATGCCTGTTACTTAATTTAATCTCTTCAGCAGTAAGCAAAAATCAAAGTGCAAGATGGTACTCTGATTAAGAAAATGCTTTAAAATTGCTTGGAATTTGTGGGAACTGTGTATATCTGGATGAATACAATGATGGATAATATCGGCATTATTTTTATCTTGCATCCCTGTAAAAGCTGAGGAAAATGTAGTCTGATCTGAGCAGGAAAGGGACAGTGTTGCAGGGTCAAATGTTGACATCAGTACTAATTGATTCCTGTGAAACATGGTGTTACTCAACTTGAAGAAGACTAAGACTGAAGGTCCCATTTCTCACTGCTTACAAATTAGAGCCAGATTTCACTTCTCTTATTTGAGCAGCGTTTTATTCTGCAGAAAACATGAGTTCTGAATGGAAATTCTTGCAAGGCAAAGCACACTCTTGCAAGCACAGAGCTGGTAGGACCTCAGCCTTACAGAGAATTGCCTCTCAGCCTAGACTGTGCTGTGCTGTGTGAAATACAGGCATGTATAATCGAGCATCTGTGACAAAGAGGAATTGTCTTCTGGAAGCTGGGATGATTCTTTGCGTTAGCTAATGGTGGCTTTCCAGCCATTGGATCTAAAGTTTTGTTTTTGCTTGAATAACTAGTGAATTCTGTCAAAAATCTCATGTTTCCAGTAATTATCAAATGACTCCCCAGCTGGCTTACTAGAATTAGGGAGCTGTGTGGTCCCTGCAGCCGTTGGAATTGGCTGGCACACCCGGAGCTTGCAGTCAGGCCAAGAGGAAAGCGGATAAATTTTGTGCTTTTTAATCTTTGTCTTCCAAAGTGAAATAATAATAATGAAGATGCCTGTATGTTGTTAGTCTGTGGATCAGAACTGAAGAGTTAGAAACTGTCTCAAGTCATGCACTATAGTTTAAATATACTGCTGTTCTTCTGCCATATGTATGAGACATGCATTTGTCTTCCTGATTTGTGTGTAATGCTTTCCGTGCTTATAGAAAGTGGAAGAGGTATATCATTTATTGATGTTGTTCTCCGAAGAGCTGCTAGCAGCCTTAATGCAGCAAAGCTTCTACTTAGAGAACTACTGTAGGGCTTTCAGATCCCCATTATCTTTAGGTACTTCAGTGTTATTTGCATAAATGAAATGTGTATGTACTTTATTCTGTGCTAAGTTTATTCTCCCTGAGAGATGGCTTTGATGATAGCTAATTATTGCAACTTTGAACCATTTAGATAGAAGTGGGTTTGATTTCCTTTTTTCCTCTCTATATTGTATCTATGCAAAACTATGCAATTATTTGCATGGTAAAGTTCTAGTATTAAGCAGTTTTGTAGAATTTTTCTTCTTCAATTTTTATACCTTTTAACTTTTAAAAAATTTATTTTTGAATCTGTTTCCTTTAATCTGCCTTCAAAGCAGTAAGGATTGGACTCTTTCAAACTAGATTTACTAAGTGTTTCTTAGTTGTTGTCCAGAGGGTACAGGTTGCAGACAAAATACCTACATCAGCAATCAGTTCCACATTTCTGTAGTATCTAGAAAGGTACAGAGGCAAAATTTATGTTCTTTCCAAATGCCATTAACTTCGCTGTCCCAACAAAAAAGTTACTTTTGAGCCACAAAGACACTCATTAGTTGTACAGACTGGAGCTTGTTGTTGCTGAGCTCATTCCCACTGTAAAAACTTAGAAGAATTAAGATAAAAGGTGGTATAAAGCCATGTGACTTCCTTAATTCTTTCTTTTCCACTGTAAAAGGAAGACCATAAGGTTAATGAAGAGAACAGAGGGTATTTGTATGTGTGTGTGCTATTTAGTGGCAAGGATTTTAAATGTATGTTTTCATTATTGTTACTTTAAGAAATGGCTGGGGTTTCGAGCGTTATGCCCAAGTTGATCTTCCAGAAAAGAAGATTAATTTTAGCCATACTAAAAGTCTTTTTTTTTTTCTTTCTCTTCAGATATTCACCACCTTGTCCGTGACTAAGCGTTCCGGTGAAAGTATCCTTCAGACTGGATGCTGAGGTTAAAGACCTCCCATTCTTGTTATTGCCAGAGACGGACTTTCATCGCAGTGTCTGGCTCGCACAGTTCAGAAGAAAGGTTTGGGGAGAAGCCATCCTCCCACGGCCGCAGAAATGTGCGGATCCTAACCAGGGCGTTCCATCCCAAGGAGAAGGGCGCTGTGGGAGCTGGTCACTTGCGGTGATTGGCTGGCAATTAGCAACGCAATGGGAGTATTGACTGTGGAGCTGGTGCTTAGCAGGGCATCTGACAAATGCCTTCATGAAGTCATGGCCTGAAGCCTGCGTTGCCTGGTGGGCAGTGATGGAAGAACTGCTAGCACAGCTGCACAACAACTGTTTTGTTTTGGGTTTATTCCTCTCTAGTTTCTTACCTGAGCGAAGAACTTCCGAACTCAAGAAAATTACTACAAGTTCAGATAATTGTGTAGTGCCCCTGTGCACTAGGTTATAACACAGCAATTGCAAGGTCTCCGCGTGAGCGTGCATTCTGCCGGCTCACCCGCCTGTGGAGGGGAAATTGTATCTACGTGTTTGACCATGAAGAAGATGATACCCGTGGAAAAAAGTATCGTACCATCTAGAATAATGTATTTCTTGGCTTCCAAACCGACCCCACCATGACTTATTTTAGAGAAACTTATTTGTGAAAACGTTCTCCTTAGTGAGAATGGAAAATACCTTTTATTAAGGCTTTGTTATACACAAAGTTGCTTTTTTATTTTTTTCCCTGACAGTAACAACCATGCAGTGAGAATGGAAAATACCTTTTATTAAGGCTTCGTTATACACAAAGTTGCTTTTTTATTTTTTTTCCCTGACAGTAACAACCATGCGTATAACACAGATACGGATTCCTAGCTTTATCTTGCAGCTTATGTGATTATGGTTAATCCAGTTTGGAACTGGCAGAATTCCGGTGTGGAATGATGTATACTTCCAGGAGATCCATGCAACTTTATTAAATTCAAATAAATTCTTCCTTTCCAGGTGAGCTATCATACGCTGCACTGTTTCAGGTCTAAATTGGCCACTTTGAACACAGCAGTACTGAGACTTTCCCTCGGATTAGTGGGCCTGTAGAACCAAAAACACCAACCGAACACTCCCCAAAGCAAAGCAGCAAACAAAACCCCCACCCAACCTCCAAAAACCAATAGTGAAAAATCTTCTGTGTAGATACAGCCTAAAAGCTGTATATGGTTCTGTATGCGCTGTGGTTTATATTTAATTAAGAAGACAGTACTTTTAAAACAGAAGTTTCCACAGAAAATAACAAATTCTTGAATATTCCTTCTGTGTTGGATAAACTGCGTACATGTTTATCAAGAAATGGTGAAGATGCCTCTTTGTAATGGAAATGAATGTGTTTTTTGATCTGTTTTTTCATTTTCCTCTGTTTGAGCAAAAAGGTTTGGATTACTTTTATTAAATGGTTCTCAGGAGTTTAGTAGTGCTGTGTGAATAGGGGGTAAATTCTCCGGCCCTCTGAGCAGAATGCCTTATGCCTGAACTTCTACCCGGTAACAAATTAATGTATTTCTACTGAGATTTCTAGAATAGTGTTGTAAGTTATTTTTGTAAACTCATACATAACTGAAGGATTTTTAAACGTATTTTGTGTGTTATTAAAGGCGGTCCATGGTGGCATTTTTCTGGCCAGTTTATTAAATAAATTGAGTATTTGCACAAACAGATGCTCATTTTGATGCCTTTTCCAAGCAGAGAAGCCAGGTGACAGCAAGCCGGCTTTTATTTTAAAGGCCAGAAGAGGGCACCTTGATAAACCTGTGATTTGTTTCTGTCTTTCAAATTTTAAAGGGAGACATTTCTCTGAGAAACAGGGTTTGGGGCTATTTTATGTGCATTTTTTTTGCGTGTTGAATAAGGACATACTTAAAAATAAGAAATGAATTGGGAAACCAACCTTCCACTATTTGCAGTAGCCGACATCAATACAACTTCTGAAAACCCAAGAGTACAGGTTCCTGAGCTGCTCGGCAGTGTAGCTGCTCGTACTTAAGCACAGGGGTAGCAGCATTTTCAAGCAAGTCTGTAGGAAAGTCAGATCCTGGAGTGTTGGATATAAAGATCTGTATGAGCTTGGCTTTGCAAGGTTGGACCCGCATGTGTCTGTTCCTGTGGGTTGTGTCATCATTAATAATGTGCGTTTTTACACTAGTGGCTTGCAATTCAGTAGTTGTTGGTTTTAATTACTTTGGGTTTACTTTAAATTTAAAATTTTGAGGCTTAGTTTTATAGGGCTTTTTCTTTTATCTTTCCAGAAGGAAAACATTTTCAGGTCTGTACTTCTGTCGTCTGTGCATGATGACAGAGATCTATTAGAACATCACATGAGGATGTATTAAATGCCAAAGCAAAGTATTTAGTGTTTTTATCAAATTAAGCATACATTGGGTAATGCCTGCTTTGGAAGCATATACTAAAAAATTTGAGAAGTTAAATGGTATTTACGTTCAGCTCATATTCATTAGTTATTAACATTTTTTTGGAACTCCTACCAGATTGTGAGAATCATGCTAAGGTATTACAGATACAAATGCAGACAGCAAATTTCACAAACTTTATCAGGGAATTAGTAGAGTTTCACTGATGGTGCCAAGAATTACTGGTTTGGGGGTTTTTTGTTGGTGGTTTCTTTTTTTTTTTTTTTTTACACTCCCCGAGCTGATCATTCCTCTTTTACCCCTCTCCCCTTGTTGCGAGTTCTTGGAGCATTCCTAACTTCCCTGTAAGTCTTACATACCAATTTGCATCCTGCCTTCCCTCCTTCAAGACCTGTTGCCTGCCCAGAGTCCCAGCACAGGAGACTCTCTGGTTGCAGAGCCGTACGATGGGGCAGGACCAGTTTCAGACAAGGTGGATCTCCTGAAGATGTCAAGGGTGCTGGAGGCTTCACGGTGGGGTAGGTGTCTTGCTGTGCCTTGTGGAAAGACCTCGCACTCGTAAAGCCTGCTAGTGATTGTGTCTCTGGCCGTGCACGTCCTTTGCTCTGCGATGTCACGTGGCAGCTGTTGGATGACTGTGGGAGAAAAGCCGTGGCTGTGTGCTGCTCGTGCACGCTGTGCAACGCAAGAGCGTGAAGAAGGGGCCAGATGGCTGAATCTTTTACGTACAATGACAGACTCCTTTCAGGTCAAAATACGGTATAAACATTAGTGGTAAAATGGCAGCTCTGCTGAGAGTGACATTTCAGAAGCCCTTTCCCTTTGACAATTGGCTTTTCTGATTGTCCTCTGCGTGGGTTGGTGTGAGACTGCTTTCTTGCCAAGGCCTGTTTGGCCTCCAGAGATAAATTAAACCTAAAAAAAAAAAAACCCAAAACAAAACAGGAGGTGCCAAGGGATCTGCCACACCACTAGCCTCCCTCCTGCATGCATGAAATGGCAAAAGGGTCCTGAGAGATGTCCATTGCGGAGGCACAGTTTGTGTCCGCACAGGGTTTTGGTTTGGGGAGTGCTGGTAGGGAGGTGGGAGCGGAGCAGGGGCTCGGGCATGTATCAGAGAGGCTGGGAAGGTGTCGTGGGGGGCCGTGGTGTGAGGTGGGATGCAGGAGGGTCTCTGCAGTGACGGGCTGCCTTTTGGCCAGGCCCGTGCTGCAGGGCTCGTGGGAGCCTGCGGATCCGAACCGCGCGTTTTGCGAGGTGGGGGTGTTGTGACCGAACCCAAAGGTGGCTCCAGAAGGTGCCTGTTGCCGAAGGGTGGGGGGAGGCTGCTGGGGTGCGCTCACCGGGAAGCCCCTTTCCATCCCTGCGCTGGGTGAAAGCTGCCCTTTTGGCTTTGTTCTGAGGGACTGCGAGGCCTCGGGGCCAGGCGTCTCGGAGGTGGCGTGGGCAGACGGCTGATCCCGAGGACTTACCGCCGGTGCCCAGAGGAACGGCCGCGTCCGCCAAGGCAAGATGCCTGTGACCTGCTGACCCATTGCGTCGTCCTGGTGAAATGCATGGCCCGTGGGCTCCCAGGCCTCGCTCAGCCCCGCACGGCGAGGTTACGGCTTGCCCACAAGGGTCACCTTGCTGCAGAAATGGTGTGCCGGGGGATGCCAGATGCTGCCGACAGGTGAGCTTGCACCTCGGTGGGGGAGCAGCTGCACCCGCTGCAGGGACCTGGGGAGTCAGCAGGTCATGGGGACTCGCTTCCGCCCCGGTATGGTCCTTGTTCCCATCCCTCTCGCTCTGCTCCCCTGCTCCAGCCACAGCCCTGCTGGGTTGGGGTTTTTCTTTTTATCTTAGGGAAAAATTATGTGTTTGTTTTCCTTTTGTTTGCCAAATGTTCTTGACCCATGTTCCATCATGCAGAATTTGACTTTATACATGCGATTTCTTTTTCATTCGATTGCCCTTTTTATCTCCCTCTTCCTGTGAAATCCTCCTAGTTACAGACTAGTCTGAGGGAGTTCTCCCACACCATTTTTACCCCTTCAAATTACAAGCTAAGCTGACGCACAGGGGGAGTATATACGAGGACAGAGGGAAGGCTTTCCTTCCCCTGGCAAAGCTGTGTGACTGGCCTTGCTCAGGACCACCAGTGACTCCTGACCTGTCCCACCACGTTGGCTGACCATCAGGTGCCTACAAGTGGTTGCTTTGTGCCAAGGAGGACATGCTGTGGCCAGACCCCTCCATGGAGCATCCTCTGCTGCTGAGGCCATGCCGTGCTGCAGCCAGCCGCCACGGGCCCAGACAAGTGTCCATCCCCATCTTTAGGCTTTAACGGGAGCTGACCTGGGCACATAGGACAAATATGCTGCTAAAACCCAGCTTCTTTCTTCTGTGTGTACTTGTCTGAGCAAGCACTTCTCTTGAAAATAGGTTTTACTCTAGGTTAGGCATAGAGTAAATGGAGCTCTGCCTATTGCTTGCTCTCAAAACCAAATGGTAACATGTTTAGCCTAAAGATCTGATTTCCCTTTTAATGGCAGTGTAAATTGACAGGCAATACCACCCAGAACGAGAAGTGCACGTGTGCCATGTGATGTG